TGGGGGATGGAGTTCCAGAGCCTGGGGCTGAGAGGCTGAAGGCCCGACCACCGATGGTAGGGCGGTTGGGGCGGGGGACGTGGAGCAGACCGGAGCCAGAGGAACGGAGGGTACGGGCAGGTAGGTAGGGGGATAGTAGGTTGGAGAGGTAGGAGGGAGCAAGGCCGTGAATGGCCTTGTAGGTGAGGATGAGGATCTTGAAATCAATCCTCTGGGGGATGGGGAGCCAGTGGAGGCGAGCGAGGGCGAGGGTGGGAGTGATGTGGTCCCGAAGCCTGGTGCGGGACAGTACACGAGCTGCAGAGTTCTGAATGACCTGCAGCTTGTGGAGGGAGGTGGCGGGAAGGCCGGCGAGGAGAGAGTTCCCATAGTCCAGCCTTGAGGTGACAAAGGCGTGGACCAGGGTTTCAGCGGCGTGAGGGGTGAGGTAATGCCGTAGTCTGGCGATGTTCCGGAGGTGATGGAAGGCGGTGCCAGTTGTGGTGCGGATGTGAGGGAGAAAGGACAGCTCAGGGTCGAACAAAACGCCGAGGTTCCTGACTGGCTTTGAGAGGTGGAGAGTGCAGCCTTGGATGCTGATGGTGTCAGCGCCTGAGGTGCGGAGGCGCTGACGTGAGCCAATCAGGAGGGCCTCGGTTTTTCGCACGTTGAGCTGAAGAAAGTTGTCTCTCGTCCAGGACTCGATGTCGGACAGGCAGCTGTCAGGACATCGGTGGTCGTGGAGTTGAGAGTAGAGGAGGAAAGGTAGAGTTGGGTGTCATCCGCATACATGTGGAAGTTAACTCCATGTCTGCGGATGATGTCACCAAGGGGGAGCATATAGAGGGTGAAGAGGAGGGGACCGAGGACAGAGCCCTGAGGGACACCACATAAGACAGTGCGGGGGGTGGAGGAGAAGCCATTCGTCAAGACAAAGTGAAGACGGTGAGAAAGGTACGACCTAAACCATTCAAGGACAGTGCCTTGAAGGTTGAGGTGGGAGGACAAGCGGTGGAGTAGGATAGCGTGGTCGACCGTATCGAATGCTGCCGATAGGTCGAGGAGGACGAGGAGACAGAGGGAGCCCTGGTCACAGATGGTCAGGATATCATTGGTGACCTTGACCAGGGCAGTTTCTGTGCTATGGGCAGCACGGAAACCTGACTGAAGGGGTTCGAAAAGAGAATGGGTGGAAAGGAAAGAGCGCAGTTGGGAGGCGACAACTCTTTCCAAGACCTTGGAGAGAAAGGGGAGGTTGGAGATGGGCCGGTAGCTTGATAGCTGCGACGCATCAAGGGAGGGTTTTTTCAGGGTGGGCGTGATGATGGCAGTTTTTAATGGAATGGGGACAGAGCCAGAGGAGAGGGACAGGTTGATGATGTCAGTGATATGTGGGGCAAGAAAGTGGAGCTGGGAGATAAGGAGTGGAGTGGGGATGGGGTCAAGGGAGCAGGTGGTTGGTTTTAGGGATAGGATGAGTTCAGTGACAGAGGGTGGGGAAACGGGTACGAAGGTGTGTAGGGGAGGATGGGTAGGAGTCGGAGTGTGGGAGGGAAGGGGTGGGTGGTGGGTGGAAGTTGGAGGGGAAGTGACCGCGGAGCGGATTCCCTTGATCTTGGATTCAAGGAAATCCAGCATCTCCTCGCAGTGAAGGTTGGAGGAGATGACCTGCGCGGGGTGGCGGGGGGGACGGAGGAGTCGGGTTGTGGTGGAAAACAGTAGCCTGGGGTTGTTCTTCGCCTCCAGGATTATCCTGGAGTAGAAGGACGACTTGGCCGAGGCTAGAGTGGAGCGGTAAATTTTGAGGAGGTCCAGCCAGATTTGTCGGTGGACCGTTAGGCCAGATTTGACACAGGTGCGTTCAGCAGCCCGCACCTGGCTTTTCAGTGAGCGGAGGTGGGTGGTGTACCAGGGGGAGGAGCGGGAGTAGGAGACAGTGCGGGAAGTGATGGGGGCAAGAGTATCGAGTGTGGAGGAGAGGGTATTGTGGAGGAGGGAGAGAGGAGAAGAGGGGTCGGTGAGGGTTGAAGGCCAGAGGGAGAGGAGTTCAGAGGACTCCAAGGCATCGGTTAGGGATTGTGGGGGTAACTTCTTCCAAGGGCGGTAGAAGATGGTGGTGGGTCTGGTGGAGGTGGGGAGGGGGGTGGAGGTGGTGAAGGAGATGAAGTAGTGGTCAGAGATGGCCTTGTCGGTAATAGTGACATCCGAGACACTGAGGCCCCGGGTGATCACCAAATCGAGTGGGTGGCCGTGACTGTGAGTGGGGGAGTTTATGTGTAAGGAGAGGTTGAGTGAGGAGAGCAGGGAAGAGAAGTCTGTGGAGATGGAGCAGGAGGGGGTGAAGTGTAGGTTAAAGTCGCCCAGGATGATGAGGCGATCGGAGGAGAGGCAAAGAGATGTGAGGAGTGTTGAAATGTCAGAGATGAAGGTGGGAGAGGTTTTAGGGGGCCGGTAGAGGAGGAGGATTTTAAGGGAGAGGAATGAGGGGTGGGAGAGGGTGAGGTGCTCAAAGGAGGGGAAAGAGCCAGTGGAGTAGGGGGATAGGGCAAGTGGTGTCCTTGAGATAAGGGCAACACCACCGCCACGGCGGTTGGGGCGGGGGATGTGGTGGGAGGTGTAGCCGGGTGGCGTGGCCTCCGTGAGGGGGAAGGTGTCGCCTGGGGTGAGCCAGGTTTCTGTTAAGGCCATGATATCAACGTTCTCATCAAGGATGAGATCGTTGATGACCAGGGCCTTGTTGCAGAGGGAGCGGACATTTTGCAGTCCGATGTGGAGGGAGCGGTTGACAGAAGGGTGTGTGGGAGGGGAGGGGGGTCCAGGTTGTGAGGCAGGGGTGGGGGAATGGGGATGAGGGAGGAGAGGTTGACTCCCCGGGTCTGTGTCCGGGGTGGGTGGCGAGTGTGGTGGGGAATGGGGCAGTCGGTGTGGCTGCTGCTGGACAGCCAACGCCGAGTGCCGCGGTGAGCCCGGCGGAGGATTCCCAGGCTGGAGCAGAGGGAGGTTGTGGGAGGGTCAAGTGGGGATAGAAGACGAGAGGGACGGAGAGAGAGGAGAGAGCGGGAGAGATGCAGAGGGGGGAGGGTTTGGGGGGAGAGAGGAGGGGGGCGGGAGGGAGGGGGTGAGGGGGCTCGGGTCAAAGCGGCAGCCATAGTGCGCACGCGGGGACCGGGAGCGAGCGGTCAGGTGGATGGCATTATCCCGTAGATTGGGGCAGCGAACCCAACAGGACCATAGTGGGCTCTGATGTGAGCCCTGGGGGGGGGGGGGGGGGGTGGGGGGGGGGGGGGGGGGGGGGGGGGGGGGGGGGGGGGGGGGCGGGGGGGGGGCGCAGAGGATTTTTTTTTTAAGGGGGGGAAGGAACAGTGCCAGATGACAGGGAGAAGTTAATGATATCAGTGAGTAGTGGGGCAAGGAGGTGGAGCTGGGATTTAAGGAGAGAGGTGGGGATGGGGTCCAGGGAGCAGGTGATGGGCTTCATGGAGGTTACGGTGGTGAAGACAGAGGAGAGGATGACAGGTGCAAAGGTGTGGAAGGAGGGATGGGTAGTTGTCGGATGGGTAGTTGTGTGGGGTGAGGGTAGGGAGGGGGTGGAAGTTGGGAGGTCAGTGGCAGCTGAGCGGATTCCTTAGATTTTGGACTCGAGGAAGAAAAGCATCTCTATCTGTGACCAGGGCTCTCTCTGCCTCCTCGACATCCTGGACTTCTCCACCATGTTCGACACAGTCGATCACGCCATCCTCCTTCATCACCTGTCCTCCATCATCCAATTCAGTGGGATTGCACTCGCTTAATTCGCGTCCTACCTTACAAACCAGCAGCATTACATTTCCGCAAATGTTTTTTCTTCTTGTCCTTCCCGGTTACCTGCGGGGTACCCCAAGGCTTCATCCTTGGCCCCTTCTCTTCTTCATCCATCTCAGAGATGTCATCCGCAAACACAGGGTTAACTTCCGCGGATGACACTAAACTCTACTTTCATTCTCCAGCTGTGCAACCTAATCTCAGTCTCTGTCAGCTTGTCTGACAGACTTAATGATCTGGATGAGCCAAACCACTTGCAGTTAAATGTCCAGACGGAAGCCATACTCGACCTCGCCACTATTCACAAAATTCAAAATCCATAACTCTGCTTCTCGCATTCCCACCCGCACTAAAACTCTGTACCCCAATTACTCCAGTCCTTGCCAAACTCCACTGGCTCCCTGTCGCAGAGCGGATCCACTTCATGAGCTTCACTCTAGTGTTTAAATCCCTCCACACCTTGCTCCTCGCCCCCCCCCCCTCCCGCCCCCAATCTCTTCACCCTTTTCTCTCCTCATAGCACCACCTGCTGCCTCCACTCTACTGCCTCCTTCTTGTCCCTCGAATCCTCCGCTCCACCTTCGGCAGCCGTGCCGTCAGCCACTGTGCCCTAAAGCAATGGAACTCCCTCTCTCAATCTCTTTGCCTTGTCCCCTCTTTCCCCAACACCCGGTTAATCCTAACCCTAAGAGTTTAGGTTTAGGCTGGAATCGAATCCAGGTCCCCTCACTTGTGAGGCGAGTCCTCTGTTCACCATGTGGAGTTAGAGCACTCGTCTCACAAGCGAGAAGACCCAGGTTTGATTCCTGGGCAGGGCGACACCTTAGGCAAGTTTCTTTACTCCACATGCATCTGTTTATCCAGCAGTAAATAGGAACCCGGTTGTTAGTCAATTGGCAGATTGCTTTTCCAGGGGTAATAATCCCTTAAAAATTAAATAATAACTTAGTCACTCAATCCATGACTGATTATGGGACGCTGCTGTGTGCAGTTGGCTGCGCGTTTTGCCCTAAAAATACAGTCAATTCACTTTACAGTATATTCTGTGAAGCTCTTTGAGGTGTCTCGAAGACATGATAAGGCGCTGTATCAAAAGCGAGGATTATTATTGAGTGGCTGAGCTGATGCTGAGGCCAGGCAATATGGGGGAGAGGGAAGTGTTCACTGAGCACAGTCTTTATCACTGGCTAACATAAAAAAAAAAGACAGGATTGACAATGTTGTATGGAGCGTGTTTACTACTGGGTGTCAGAGGGCGCTTCCTCGTGGGTGATCCTGGAGGTCTGGAAGCTTTGGGAGGACAAGCTGTCCCGCTGGTTGCTGTGGTTTGAAATCTGACCCTTGACCTGGAAAGACGATGAGCTGTTTTTTATCGAATGGCTATCCTCTTCATCTGTCTCCGTCTCCTTCATGTCCACGTGTCCCAGAGGGATAAGCCGTATGGCAGTGAAGTTACTGAGGGGCTCCCCAATAATTCCCACCCTGAGGGGAGCAACAACACAGTAGATCACACTGTGACCAGGTGCAATACATCACATAGGCAGCAGGGGACCCTCCACCCAAAGCCACCAGTGAGGCGTGAAGCCTGTCCCCCCCCCACACTGTGACACTGAATATACCCCCACCCCCCTGTGACACTGAATATACACACCCCCTCACTGTGACACTGAATATAACCCCCCGCACTGTGACACTGAATATACCTCCACCCCCCTGTGACACTGAATATACCCCCCTCACTGTGACATTGACCCCTGCCCCCTCACTGTGACACTAACACCCCTCCACCTCCTCACTGTGACATTGACAACCCACGATCGCCATGCCACCCCCCCACCCCCCCCCCCCCCCCCAACCACCCCCCCATCCCATGTCTGCACCTGGTTGGGAAGATGTCCATGGATGTCTGTGGGTCAGGCTGTAGCAGCTCTCCCTGTTCTGGGGAGGCTTTGAAGAGGTGTCTGGATCTCTCCTTTGGAGAGGGCAGCAGTGAGATGAGGATGGGGGAGCGCTGGTGGATGATGCTCTTTATCGCAGGACGCTTTGGGTGCTGCTGCCTGACAACAGATTAAACTCCTGTTAACCCTACAAGCCACGGCCCTAAACGGGTAGGGTGGTCCCAGCTGGACAAGTGGACAAGCAGTGGCAAAGCTTGCCAGGCAGTGCTCTTAATGGGAAGCTATGTGGTTGTAGCTGGTTAGACTCCAGCAGTTACCCCCAATACACACTCTGGGGTCTTGCCAACTTGTGCCAAACATCACAATATTAATAATAATCCTTGCATTTGATATAGTGCCTTATCATGTCTTCGAAACGTCTCAAATAATACTAACACTGAGCATTCACTCCATGTCTGCAAATTCATTCACAAATTGGCTGCCATGCTCGCCTACAAAATAGTAATAATAACAATAATTCTTGCATTTAATATAGCCCCTTGTCTCGGCGTCGAGATGTCTAAGCACTTCACAGCATACACTATAAAGTGACTGTGTATTTTGTAGGCTAAACACAGCAGCCAATTGCAACAGTAGTGTCCCAAAAACAGCTATGGAGTTTGGGGGGTATTGTTGGGCAGGACGCAAGGACACAGAAACTCCCTTCTCTTGGGATCTTTAAAATCCATTTATTTTCAAAATAAAGTATTAAATACAAGGATTCTTACTATTAATGATGGTCCACCACCACAAGTTCATTGGCAAACTGGATTTGGCAATTTAGTATGTAAATTGTGGTTTATAAATACTGTATATAAATTTTTTCTCCCATCAATCCCAGGGGGAGGGGTGCCGAGCTCGCAGCTTACCTGAACTCCCCGGGAGAAATGCTCTTCCTTCTAAAAGGTCCTTCGGTAAAGCTGATGATGGGGTACCGGGTTTGGGCGGGGAGATTGAAAGTCTCGGAGCGCAGCAGCCTCCCCACCTCCTCCACAATCAGCTTCAAGTTGTTCCTCCTGAAGGTCACCCACACCACCGTGGCACAGAGTGTGTACAGACACTAAAACAAAGCAGAGCCAGGCTCAGTGAAACTCTGACACACCCCGTAGGCTCACACTCTGGCTGTTCTGCCCAGTCCACATCCCAAACCCCAACCCCAACCCACTTCCCAAACCCCAACCCCAACCCACTTCCCAAACCCCAACCCCAACCCACATCCCAAACCCCAACCCACATCCCAAACCCCAACCCATATCCCAAACCCCAACCCCAACCCACATCCCAAACTCCAACCCAACCCACTCCCAAACCCAACCCCAACCCACATCCCAAACCCCAACCCATATCCCAAACCCCAACCCCAACCCACATCCCAAACTCCAACCCCAACCCACATCCCAAACCCTAACCCACATCCCAAACCCCAACCCACATCCCAAACACCAACCCCAACCCACATCACAAACACCAACTCCATCCCACATCCCAAACCCCAACCCACATCCCAAACCCCAACGCACATCCCAAACCCACATCCCAAACCCCAACCCACATCCGAAACCCCAACCCACATCCCAAACCCCAACCCACATCCCAAACACCAACCCCAACCCACATCACAAACACCAACTCCAACCCACATCCCAAACCCCAACCCACATCCCAAACCCCAACCCATATCCCAAACCCCAACCCCAACCCACATCCCAAACCCCAACCCCAACCCACATCACAAACCCCAACCCACATCCCAAACCCCAACCCACATCCCAAACACCAACCCCAACCCACATCACAAACACCAACTCCATCCCACATCCCAAACCCCAACCCACATCCCAAACCCCAACGCACATCCCAAACCCACATCCCAAACCCCAACCCACATCCGAAACCCCAACCCACATCCCAAACCCCAACCCACATCCCAAACACCAACCCCAACCCACATCACAAACACCAACTCCAACCCACATCCCAAACCCCAAACCACATCCCAAACCCTAACCCACATCCCAAACCCTAACCCACATCCCAACCCACATCCCACATTCCAAACCCCAACCCACATTCCAAACCCCAACCCACATCCCAAACCCCAGTGCATTTATATAGCGACCTTCATGTGGGGCAGCGTCTCACAGCACTTAAAACTCCAGCACCAAACCAGGTACCAACCACCAACTCCAGCAAACAACACATTATATTTACACATCATATTCCATTTTGGGAGGATTTGGACCTAAGCTGGTGGTTGGGATCAGGAGGAGAAATGATACTCACCTCAAACAGCTTTCTGTCCCTAGCGTTGGAGGATTCCATCTTCCTGCCAACATATTAAAGTTACGATGTGTATTACAGTGTCATATATAGCCAATAACACAATGTATACAGTGTTATAGCCAGTAACCCACACTATTATTATATAATATACAGTTATAGCAAGTAACACACAATGTGCTACTACATAATATAGTTATAACCAGTAACACACAGTGTTATTCATACAATCATAGAATTATACAGAACAGAAGGAGGCCATTCCGCTCATCATGTCTGTGCCGGCTCTTTGAAAAGAGCTATCCAAATCAAACCCACTCCCCCGCGTTCTCCCCATAGCCCTGCAAACTTGTCCTCCCCAAATAATTATCTACTTCTCTCTTAAAAGTTGTTATAGAATCGGCTTCCACCAGCCTTTCAGGCAATGCATTCCAGATCCCAACAACTCACTGTGTGAAAACATTTCTCCTCACCTGCCCTCTGTTTATTTTAACAGCTATTTTAACTCGGTGTCCTTGGGTTACTGACCCACCCGCCAGTGGGAATAGTTTCTCCTTGTTCACCCTATCAAATCCCCTCATCAATTTGAAAACTTCTCAGTCTTCTTTTAACCTTCTCTGCTCCAAGGAGAATAATCCGAGCTTCTCGAGCCTCTCCTGATAACTGAAGACCCTCATTCCTGGTACCATCTCCTGGTCAATCTCCTTTGCACCCTCTCCAATGCCTTAATATCCTTCCTAAAGTGTGGGGCCCAGAACTGAGCACAGTCTGTAGCTGAGGCCTAACCCGTGTTTTATATAAAGGTTCATTATAACTTCCTGCCGTGTGTATTCTATGCCCCTATTTATAAAGCCCAGTATCCCGTATGCTTTTTTAACAGCGTTATCTACCTGTCCTGTCACCTTCAAAGATTTACTTATATAAACCCCAGGTCTCTCTGTTCCTTCATCCCCTTTAATACCATCAGCTTATATTGCCTCTCCTCATTCTTCCTCCCAAAATTTATCACTTAGCATTTCTCCACATTAAACATCATCTGCCACGTGTCTGCCCAGTTTCCCAGTCTGTCTATGTCGTCTTGCAGTCTGTTACTATCCTCCTCATGTTTACTACTTTCCTCGCTTAGTATCATCTGCAAACTTGGAAATTGTCCTCCCTGTACCCAAGTCCAGGTCATTTATATAGATCACAAACAGCAGTGGTCCTATTACCGACCCAGTCTCGTATGTGACACTTTATCAATCGCCTTTTGAAATTCCATATAAACTGCACTACCTTCATCCACCATTTCTTCATCAAAGAACTCTATCAGGTTTGTTAGACACGATTTGCCTTTAACAAATCCATGTTGGCTGTCCTTTATTAACCCACATTTTTCTTAGTGAAAATTTATTTTGTCCTGGATTATAATCTCCAGAAGTTTCCCCACTACTGACGTTAGACTGACTGGCCTGTAGTTCCCAGGTTTATCCCTCTGTCCCTTTTTGTACAGGGGAGTAACATTTGCAACCCTCCAGTCCTCTGGCACCAACCCGGTGTCCAAGGAGGATTGAAAGATCGTGGCCAGAGCCTCCGTTATTTCCACCTTTACTTCCCTCAATGATCTAGGATACATCCCGTCTTGACCGGGTGACTTATCTACCTTGAGCACCGACAACCTTTTTAGTTCCACCTCTCGGTTTATTCTTATATTATCCAATTTCTCTCCCCTCTCCTCTGATACTGTGGCATTGGCTGCATCCTCTTCGTTTGTGAACACAGATGCAAAGTACTCAGTATGTCAGCCGTCTGCCTCCACAAGAAGATTTCCTCTTTGGTCCCTAATTGGACCCACCGCACCTTTGACTAACCTTTTATTCTTTAGATGCTTATAAAATATCTTAAGGTTCCCTTTTATGTTACCCGCTAATCTTTTCTCTTTTCTTTTCTCATTCAATCTCTTTGCCCCTTTTATTTCCTTTTTCAATTCTCCTCTGTACTTTCTATATTCTATTTAATTGTCGTCTATATTTTGGACCTGACATTTATCATAAACCGCTTTTTCCTTTTATTTTAATCCCAATTTCCTTCGTCATCCAGGGAGGTTTGGATGCCCCACCTTTCCCCTTTGTGCGAATGTACTTGTTCTGTCCCCTTCTTGAAGGCTTCCCATTGCTCGTTAGCTGTTTACCTGCCAACTTTCTTTCCAGTCCACCTTGGCCAGGTCCCTTTTTAACTCACTGAAATTAGCCTCTTCCAGTTGAGTATCTTCACCTTTGATTGTTCCTTGTCCCTTTCCATAAGCTCTCTCAACCTAATGATGTTGTGATCACTGTTGTCCAGATGCTCTCCTTCTGATGCTCCACTTGCCCCCTCCTTGCCCTTTACACTGTTATTTTGCCAGTCTATATTAGGATAATTGAAGTCCCCCATTATCACTACTCTATTGGTTTTGCATATTTCTGAAATCTGCTTCCAGATTTGCTCGTCTCTCTCCTTCCCACTATTTGATGGTCGATAATATACACCTAACAGAGTAATAGCTCCTTTTCTACTCCTTAACTCTAACCAAATAGATTCTATAATATAGTTATAGCCCATCACACACAGTGTGGTATTATACAATACAAGCAGTGACTCAAAAACACCTGTTCTTTATGTAAAATATTATCTGGTGTCGATATTAGTCCCCACCTCCTCTCACCGCTACGCTGAACATTGTGTGCGAGGGTGTGAGTTTGTGTGAATTTATGTGTGTGTGTGTGTAAGTTTATGTGAGTGTGTGTGTTTGTGTGAGTGTGTGTGAGAGTGTGTGGAAAACTAATCAGAGATTGAAGGGAGCATCTCTCTCTCAGTGGTATCATCATCATCATCATCATCACACAGCCTGAGCCAGGCTGTGCCCCTCCCCTGAAAGGTGCTGACTTTACCATAATAAAAATAATCCTTGCATTTGACACAGGGCCTTATCACGTCTTCTAGACGTCTCAAAGCACTTCACAGGATATACTGTAAATGAGGCAGCCAATTGCGCACAAACAGTTTCACAAAGAGTCGAGGATTGTGTGACCAAATTATTATTTTTTTTTGCAGGGATTATTACCCCCAGAAAAATGATCCGTCAATCAATTACCAATTGGGTTCCTACTTATATAATATAGTTTTCCCAGCCCAGGCTGTGCCTCTCCCCTAAGACCTGCTCACTTTCCACATCCCAGATGGTGCTGTCGGCATATGTCAATGCCCAACAACAGCATGGAGTAATTCTCTGCCATCTGCTTCTGTGCCATTTGCTGTCTTTGTTGAACTTCTGTCACCTCGTTCACCTCTGCGATGGTGGGTTCCCTGCAACATACACACACCGAGAGCTGTCTGTAACATACACACGCGCACACAGAGCTCCGCGTAACACACACACGCACACACACACACACACACAGCTCCCTGTAACATACACACGCACAGTCACACACACAACTTTATGTAACACACGCGCACACACACAGAGTTCTGTGTAACATACACACAGAATTTCCCCCAGAGTCTTTGCAGTAAAGTTGTCGGGCAGACGCAGGGTAACAGGGATCGGGATGGTGCAGCAACAACGACAACAACAAAATTACATTTGTAAAGCGCTTTGCACATCGGGAGGACGTCCCCGGATGCTGGATCCAGGTTTCAGTGAGGACCATCATCTCGATATTTTCATCTACAAAAACTTGTATGTTCGTATACCCGAGGGTAGGGCAGCGTCCCAGAGTGCTTAAACCAGAGGAAGCCGGGCACTGCCACGCTCCCAGCAACAGACTTACGAGACAAAAGACTTGGGCTTCGACAGCAGCGCGATTTTATCAAAGTAGGCGGCAAAGTACTGAACGAAGGCGTAGAGGAAGGCGTTGAGATACCGGTTCCTGTAAAACACAGAGAGAAATCTGTCAAACTTTCCTCTGCTCACCACAGCCAACGCCACACATTTCCAACCTCAGTCTTCAGACTGTTTGTTCTGAAATTGAGGTCGTCAGGATCCTTGGAAAATTCTTTGATTCTGTCTTAAATTGTAAACCAGTTTCCTTCAGGGAAATGTCAAAATGCAAGATGTTCTCACTCCCTCCCTCCCTCTCTCTCTCCCCACTTCCTCCTCCAAAATCTTTCCGACAGCAAGAGACACAGAGTGACACAGAGAGACACACAGAGTGAAACAGAGAGACAGAGCGAGAGAGAAAGTGAAACAGACAGAGAGACAGTGAAACAGAGAGTCACACAGAGACAGAGATACAGAACTTACCCTAAAATTGCCAAGAAGCCATCTGGTATGTTCACTGAAAAACTTTCCTCTATCAAAACCATCGCTGCACCTATCACAGAGAGCACAGCATCCATTCTCAGTCACACACCTTTCCAGCAGACAGGAACATTCCCCACAGACAGGAACATTCCCCACAGACAGGAACATTCCCCACAGACAGGAACATTCCCCACAGACAGGAACATTCCCCACAGACAGGAACATTCCCCACAGACAGGCTATGGATCAGGGACATGGATTGGGATCAAGCTATGGATTGGGATCAGGGACATGGATTGTCATCAGGGACATGGATTGGGATCAGGCTACAGATTGGGAGCAGGGACATGGATTGGCATCAGGGACATGGATTGGCATCAGGGACATGGATTGGCATCAGGGACATGGATTGGCATCAGGGACATGGATTGGCATCAGGGACATGGATTGGCATCAGGGACATGGATTGGCATCAGGGACATGGATTGGCATCAGGGACATGGATTGGCATCAGGGACATGGATTGGCATCAGGGACATGGATTGGCATCAGGGACATGGATTGGCATCAGGAACATGGAAGCCATTGCTAATGCCGATGGGCACAGAATAAGCAAGGGCAAACATAGTGTCCATCTTCATCTTCTCCTCCACCCCCCCATCCCTCCCACAACACAGTGAGGAGCACGCAAATGTTATGTGGTCCATCCTTACTTTTAACATCATCGAACGTGACCTCGTGGCGCTGACGAAATGCCAGTTTCAACAAGGGGCGCCGTGTGCCCATAAACGAGCTGCTCCTTGGAGCTTTACCCATGATATTCCTCAGGACCTCCAGGCTGCGCTGGGCAACACTGGCAGCCGACCTGGGCAAGACAACAACAATAATAGCAACAATAACCCTTACATTTGATATAGCGCCTTATCACGCCATTGAGACGTCTCAAAGAGCTTCACAGGATACATAATTCATATTTTTAAGACTGAGATGGATCAATATTTGTTAGGTCAGGGTATTAAGGGATACGGAACAAGGCCAGGTAATTGGAGTTGAAGTGGAAATCAGCCATGATCTAATAGAATGGCGGAAAACAGGCTCGAGGGGCTGAATGGCCTTCTCCTGAAACCGACCATCTGCTCCCTCAATCCCCATCCCTACCCCTCTCCTTAACTCCCAGCTCCACCTCCTTGCCACTCTACTCACAGACATCATAAACCTCTCCTTGTCCATCGGCACTGTTCCTACCCCTTTAAAAACAGCCGTTATCACTCGTAGCCTTAAAAAAACCTTTGTGGACCCATCCCTGCTATCAAATTCATCTCCAATCTCCCTTTCTTCTCCAAGGTCCTGGAACGAGTTGTTGCTTTCCAGCTTCACTCCTTCCTCTCCCGCCACTCCCTTCTCGAACCCCTCCAGTCGGGTTTCCGTGCCGCCCCCGGCACAGACACCGCCTGGTCAAAGTGACAAATAACATTCTGTCCATCTGCGACCAGGGCTCCCTCCGCCTCCTCGTCCTCCGTGACCTCTCTGCTGCCTTCGACACCGTTGACCACTGTTATCCTCCTCCACCGCTTCTCCTCTCACCTCAGCCATCACGTCTCTGTCCTTAACTGATTCAGATCGTACCTCTCACACCATCTCCACTTCATCTCCACAATGGTTGTGGAGCCCCCGCACCGTCTTGTGTGGTGTTCTCAGGACTCTGTCCTTGGTCCCCTCCTCTTCAATATCTATACGCTCCCTCTTGGTGACATCATCTGCAGACATGGGGTCAACTCCCACATGTATGACACCCAACTCTCCCTCTCTGCCTCCGCCCTCGACTCCAGGACCACTGCTGTCCTGACACAATGTCTGTCAGACGTCAAGTCCTGGATGAGAGCGAACTTTCTTCAGTTGAACAAGACCGAGGCTCTCCTGATTGGCTCCGGTCAGTGCCTCCTCACCTCAGGCACTGACAGCATCACCGTCCATGGTCGCCCACTCCCCCTCACTGAGCCAGTCCCGAACCTTGGCTTCTTGATGACCCTCAACTATCCTTTCCAACCCACATCCGTGCCATGACCCACTCTGCCTTCCCCCACCTCCGCCACATTGCCCGGATCTGCCATTGTCTCACACCGCGGGCCGCCAAAACCCCCATACACGCTTTGATTAATCCAGGCTTGATTATGGAAACTCCCTCCTTGTCAGCCTCCCCAAATCTTCCCTCCACAAACTGCAGATTATCCAGAACTCTGCAGCTCATGTCCTCTCCCGCACCAGACTCCATGACCCCATCACCCCCACCCTCGCCCGACTCCACTGGCCCCCCATCCCCTAGAAGATCGAGTTCAAAATCCTCGTCCTCACTTTCAAGGCCTCCACAGCCTTGCCCCCTCCTACATCGCTGACCTGCTGACCCCCTATCAACCTGTCCTCTCCCTCCACTCAGCAGACTCCGGCCTGCTATAGGGCTCCCGCCCGGACCTCCCACTACCATCGGCGGCCGGGCTTTCAGCCTCTGCCCCCACCCTTTGGAATTCCATCCCACAAACCCTTCGCCTCAATCCCTCTCTTGCCTCCTTTAAGGCACGACTCAAGACCCTCCTTGTTGACCAAGTCTTCAGCCGCCCTCCTACCTCCTCTCCCTCCCTAATCCCAACCCTGCTCCCCACACTCGAGTCCTGATTCCCAACTGTTCAGTACCTTGTAACATCCTCTCAATGTGAAAGGCATACCCACCTCGTACGCCCACCTCACACACACCGCCTTCACACACTCCGCCCTCACACACTCACCGCCCTCACACACACCGCCATACACCACCCTCACACGCGCCGCCCTCACACGCCCCGCCCTCACACACACCAGCATACACCGCCCTCACACACACCGCCCTCACACACTACCCTATGTTTCTATTCTATGAAACATGGCAGCCAATTCCACACAACAATGTCCTACAAAGAGTCGTGGATTGAGTGACCAAATTATTATTTATTTATTTAAATTTTTTGGAGGGATTATTATCCCCTAGAAAGCGATCTGTCGGTCGACTAACAACTGGGTTCCTACTTACTGCTTGGTAAACAGAAGCGTGTGGAGTGAGTAAACTGGTCCGCCCAGGATTTTGGAATGTTTTTTTTGTGATTCCAGTGTCTGAGCTCTGCTCATCTTCCCCCTGAGCCCCCGCCACTGAACCCCTGCCACAGACCCACCCGAACGCCTCTCTGTATAAACCAGCCCGCGCTGCATTACCTGTTGTATAAGATGCTCCGTAACTCCATGGATCCCTTTATCTTGTTCCAGGATATCTTGTCTTTAGCGGAACTTTGTGGCAAGAAGCTGAGGAACAAGATCTAGTTACAGTGTGAAATCTCAGTGTGTATCACACCTATCAGCAGTGTGTGTGAGGGCGGTGTGTGTGAGGGTGGTGTGTGAGAGCGGTGTGTGTGAGGGCGGTGAGTGTGAGGGCAGTGTATGTGAGTCAGGGCGGTGTGTGTGAGGGCAGTGTGTGTGTGAGGGTGGTGTGTGTGAGGGCAGTGTGTGTGTGTGAGGGTGGTGTGTGTGAGGGCAGTGTGTGTGTGTGAGGGCGGTGTGTGTGAAGGCAGTGTATGTGAGTGAGGGCGGTGTGTGAGGGCAGTGTGTGTGTGTGTGAGAGCGGTGTGTGTGAGGGCAGTGTGTGTGTGTGAGGGTGGTGTGTGTGAGAGCAGTGTGTGCGAGGGCGGTGTGTGTGAGGGTGGTGTGTGTGAGGGCAGTGTGTGTGTGTGTGAGGGTGGTGTGTGTGAGAGCAGTGTGTGCGAGGGCGGTGTGTGTGAGGGTGGTGTGTGTGAGGGTGGTGTGTGAGGGCAGTGTGTGTGTGTGAGGGTGGTGTGTGTGAGGGAAGTGTGTGTGTGTGAGGGTGGTGTGTGTGAAGGCAGTGTATGTGAGTGAGGGCGGTGTGTGTGAGGGCAGTGTGTGTGTGTGTGAGGGTGGTGTGTGTGAGAGCGGTGTGTGTGAGGGTGGTGTGTGTGAGGGTGGTGTGTGTGAGGGCAGTGTGTGTGAGGGCAGTGTGTGTGTGAGGGTGGTGTGTGTAAGGGCAGTGTGTGTGTGTGAGGGGTGTGTGTGAGGGCGGTGTGTGTGAGGGCAGTGTGTGTGTGTGAGGGTGGTGTGTGTAAGGGCAGTGTGTGTGTGTGAGGGTGGTGTGTGTGAGGGCAGTGTATATTAGTGAGGGCGGTGTGTGTGAGGGCAGTATGTGTGTGAGGGTGGTGTGTGTAAGGGCAGTGTGTGTGTGAGGGGTGTGTGTGAGGGCAGTGTGTGTGTGAGGGCGGTGTGTGTGAGGGCAGTAATAATAATCCTTGCATTTGATATAGCGCTTTTCACGTCGGGAGGACGTCCCAAAGCGCTTCACAGAACACACTGTAAAGTGAATTGACTGTATATCTGTGGGCGAACGCGGCAGCCAATTGCGCACAGCAATGTCCCACAAACAGTCGTAGATTGAAAATGACCAATTTATTATTGTTTTTGGTTTTGGAGGATTATTATTAGGCTCTGTGTGGAGTAAGAAAACTTGCCCAAGGTTTGGCCCTGACTGACCCCCCGGGGATTGAACTCAGGTCTCTCACTTGCAAAGCGAGTGCTCTAACCACTGAGCTACAGGACTCCACGTGTGAGTGTGTGTGAGGGCAGTGTGTGTGTGTGTGGATGGTATGCAAGGCTGGTGTATGACGCCGAGCTGTGAGGGCAGTATGCAAAGATATTGTTTGAGGCCAGTGTGTGAGGGCAGTGTGTGAGGTGGGTGTGTGAGGGCAGTGTATGAGGAGGGTGTGCAACAGCAATGTGCAAGGCCAGTGTGTGAGGGCAGTGTGCAAGGTGGACGTGCAAGCGCAATGTGCAAGATGGGTGTGCAAAGACAGTGTGCAAGGCCAGTGTATGAGGGCAGTATGTGAGGTGGGTGTGCAAGGACAGTGTGTGAGGGCAGTGCCTGTTTTCCTACCTGACAAATTCAAGGTCGTTGGTTTCATCATTCCAGAACCAGTGCCCCTGGGGCCTGTTGATTAACTGCAATCAGACGGGTTGTTAGTTACTTTGGTCATAAATCAGAGCCTGGTGTGGCTTATACTCTCCCCCAGCTCACAGTGGGTCAAGAGAAATCCATTAGGCCGATCAGGTCAGAGCGACTGTCCTCCTGGGAGGAAGAGAGCCTGGCGCATTGGCCAGGCCTGGCGGAGCAGACCAGTCACTGAGGATAGGGAGTCTTCCCACTCGGCTCCCAATAAATGTGCAAGTCAAAGCCTCGGTGTGTGTGTTGGGGTAACCAAGTGGAGAATCGCCAGTTGGTCATTTGATATCCAACAAGTGTGGGTTTGAACCCTCGCTAGATAGGTGCGCAGATTACCATTGCCGTTACCATTAACCTACGCCTAATACTTTCCGTAATTAGGGAAGCAGGACACATCCCTCCAGGGAGAGAGAGAGAGTGAGCATTCCATTCTCATACATAGCTCTGGGATTTCCATGTGTAGGAGGGATACATGGAATTCTCAGTTTGGTTTGGAAACTCTTAAGCAGCAGTGCTGGGTTTCTACATGTATCAGACACCTGACTGAGCAAAACAAAAACTTGCGTGAGTTTATTTGGTTCGCCCAGTAACCAGTTTACTCTTGCCAACTTGTGCCTAAGCTCTCTGTTTAACTAGTTTAATCAGGAAGGCAGGAAGAGGGTACTGTACATCAATATTAATAGTAATAAATCTTGCATTTGATATAGCGCCTTATCATGCCTACGAGAAGTGCTTCACAGATTAAACTAAAATGAATTGACTGTGTATTTTGTGGGTGAAACAAATTCTAATCCATCCTCAACAAATGGACACCAGACAGATGCGGAGCTATCAGTTTGGTTTGGAGACACTTTAAGCATAATGATGGGTTCCTGTGTGAGTCCGACTATCATCAGACCAAAGAAAATTGGGTGCGTTTTCCTGTTCCCAAGAGGACAGTCAAATGCCAAATGCAAACCCTCGTCCTTTTTTTTGAAGGATTTAATTGATACAAAGTGAACCACAGGTCACTCCTGAAGCTGTGGGAAGCAACACTTCTCCAGTGCCACTGATGTTCCGTTTTAAAGTCAAATCCCAGCATTCTGCTGAACTGTGGTATAACCGACCCAGAGAACACTGGCAATGTCACATCTCACCACACCTCACAATTTGGGATGTCCTCCCAACGTGAAACGCGCTATTCATGTGCAATTTGCTGTTGTTTTTGTTGAGACATTCAGAACTAGTTTTCTGTCTCCCCGACTCTCACATTGACCAGTCCTGTGTCTCTATCACTCATTCCAACTTGGAGCTCATCCCAACCTGTGGCTCATCCCAACCTGTGGCTCATCCCAACCTGTGGCTCATCCCAACCTGTGGCTCATCCCAACCTGTAGCTCATCCCAACTTGTGGCTCATCCCAACCTGTGGCTCATCCCAACCTGTGGCTCATCCCAACCCGTCACTCATCCACCCGGTCACTCATTCCAACCGGTCACTCATTCCAACCGGTCACTCATCCCACTCGGTCAATCATCCAACCTGTCACTCATCCCAACCTGTCACTCATCCCAACCTGTCACTCATCCCAACCTGTCACTCATTCCAACCTGTCACTCATCCCACACTGTCACTCATCCCAAACCGTCACTCATCCCAACCCGTCACTCATCCCAACCCGTCACTCATCCCAACCCGTCACTCATCCCAACCGGTCACTCATCCCAACCCGTCACTCATCCCAACCCGTCACTCATCCCAACCCGTCACTCATCCCACCCTGTCACTCATCCCACCCTGTCACTCATCCCACCCTGTCACTCATGCCAACCGGTCACTCATCGCAACCGGTCACTCAACCCAACCCGTCACTCATCCCAACCCGTCATTCAACCCAACGCGTCACTCAACCAAACTCTTCACTCAACCCAACCCGTCAGTCATCCCAACCCGTCACTCATCCCAACCCGTCACTCATCCCAACCCGTCACTCATCCCAACCCGTCACTCATCCCAACCCGTCACTCATCCCAACCCGTCACTCATCCCAACCCGTCACTCACCCCAACCTGTCACTCATCCCAACCCGTCACTCATCCCAACCCGTCACTCATCCCAACCTGTCACTCATCCCACCCTGTCACTCATCCCACCCTGTCACTCATCCCAACCGGTCACTCATCCCAACCGGTCACTCATCCCAACCCGTCACTCATCCCAACCCGTCACTCATCCCAACCCGTAACTCATCCCACCCTGTCACTCATCCCACCCTGTCACTCATCCCACCCTGTCACTCATCCCAATCTGTCACTCATCAAAAAATGTCACTCATCCCAACCTGTCACTCATCCCAACCCGTAACTCATCCCACCCTGTCACTCATCCCACCCTGTCACTCATCCCACCCTGTCACTCATCCCAATCTGTCACTCATCAAAAAATGTCACTCATCCCAACCTGTCACTCATCCCACCCTGTCACTCATCCCTCCCTGTCACTCATTCCAACCGGTCACTCATCCTACCCGGTCATCCATCCTACACGGTCACTCATCCACCCGGTCACTCATTCCAACCGGTCACTCATTCCAACCGGTCACTCATCCCACTCGGTCAATCATCCAACCTGTCACTCATCCCAACCTGTCACTCCTCACAACCTGTCACTCATCCCAACCTGTCACTCATTCCAACCTGTCACTTATCCCAATCTGTCACTCATCCCAACCGGTCACTCATCCCAACCCGTCACTCATCCCAACCCTTCACTCATCCCAACCCTTCACTCATCCCACCCTGTCACTCATCCCAACCTGTCACTCATCCCAACCTGTCACTCATCACAAAATGTCACTCATCCCAACCTGTCACTCATCCCACCCTGTCACTCATCCCACCCTGTCACTCATCCCAACCTGTCACTCATCCTCCCTGTCACTCATCCCTCCCTGTCACTCATCCCACCCGGTCATCCATCCTACACGGTCACTCATCCACCCGGTCACTCATTCCAACCGGTCACTCATTCCAACCGGTCACTCATTCCAACCGGTCACTCATCCCACTCGGTCAATCATCCAACCTGTCACTCATCCCAACCTGTCACTCCTCACAACCTGTCACTCATCCCAACCTGTCACTCATTCCAATCTGTCACTTATCCCAATCTGTCACTCATCCCAACCTGTCACTCATTCCAACCTGTCACTCATCCCAAACAGTCACTCATACCAACCAGTCACTCATCCAAACCGGTCACTCATCCCAGCCGGTCACCCATCCAAACTGGTCACTCATCCCAGCCGGTCACCCATCCCAACCGGTCACTCATTCCACCCAGTCACTCATTCCACCCTGTCACTCATCCCAACCTGTCACTCATCTCAAGCTGTCACTGATCCTACCCTATCATCATCCCACCCTGGCACTCATCCCACCCTGTCACTCATACCCACCCGTCACTCATCCCCACCTGTCACACATCCACACCTGTCAGTCATCCCCATCTGTCACTCATCTCCACCTGTCACTCATCCCCACCTGTCACTCATCCCAGCCTTTCACTCATCCCACACAGTCACTCATCACAACTGTCACTCATCCCACCTGTCACTCAACGCAACCTGTCACTCATCCCAACCTGTCACTCATCCCAACCGGTCACTCATTCCAACCCATCACTGACTCCAAACTGTGACTCATCCCAACTTGTCACTCATCCCAACCTGTCACGCATCTCAACCTGTCACTCATTCCAACCTATCAATCATCCCAACCTGTCACTCATCCCAACCTGTCACTCATCCCAACCTGTCACTCATTCCAACCTGTCACTCATTCCAACCTGTCACTCATTCCACTCTGTCACTCATTCCAACCTGTCACTCATCCCAACCTGTCACTCATCCAAGCCTGTCACTCATCCCCACCTGTCACTCAACCCAACCTGTCACTCAACCCAACCCGTCACTCATTCCAACCTATCACTCATCCCAACATGTCACGCATCTCAACCTGTCATTCATTCCAACCTGTCAATCATCCCAACCTGTCAATCATTCCAACCTGTCACTCATCCCAACCTGTCGCTCATTCCAACCAGTCACTCATTCCAACCTGTCACTCATCCCAACCTATCACGCATCCCAACCTGTCACTCATTCCAACCTGTCACTCATTCCACCCTGTCACTCATTCCACTCTGTCAGTCATTCCAACCTGTCATGAAAATGACCTATTTAATTATTGTTTTCGTTTTTTTTGGAGGGATTATTATTAGGCTCTGTGTGGAGTAAGGAAACTTGCCATTAAACATCATCTGCCACGTGTCTGCCCAGTTTCCCAGTCTGTCTATGTCCTCTTGCAGTCTGTACTATCCTCCTCACTGTTTACTACTTTCCTCGCTTAGTATCATCTGCAAACTTGGAAATTGTCCTCCCTGTACCCAAGTCCAGGTCATTTATATAGATCACAAACAGCAGTGGTCCTAATACTGAGGAATCATCACAGAGAAAGCGATGTCAGAGGGGCGAATGTGTACAGGAAATGACCTAATTGGCGATCTGAGCGTCAGATACAGAGTCTGGAACTCGGAGAAACCTCTCAAAGCGATTCACAAGATCTGAAGTGAAGTGATTCTGTATTTCATGGGTGAAACCAGCGGCCAATTTACACACTGCAGCAACGCACACAGCAACAACAACAACAAATAGTATTTATACAGCATCTTTCACATCGGGAGGATGACCGAAGGAGCTGGACATTCAGAGATTTGCACCGAGTTAGGGATTAGAATCAAGAGGGGTGGTAGCAAGAGGGTGGGGGTGGGAGGGTGTTTAGAGTGAGATCAAAGAGGAAGGTCTTGAGATAGGCCTTGAAGGAGGCAAGGGAGGGGCGAGGTGGAGAGGCTATGGGATGGAGTTGCAGAGGGTGGGGGCCGAAAGGCTGAAGACCTAACTGATGATGGTGCTGCGGGCTGAGTGGGGAACACAGAGCAGGCCAGTGTCCGCCAAGTGGAGGGAGTGCGCAGGTTGGTAAAGTTTTGACAGGTCGCCGAGGTAGGGAGGAGCATGGCCATGGGTGAGGGGGGGGGGGCTTTCAAAGTGTGAACAAAAATCCTGAACTCGATCCTCCGAGTGGTCAACTTGTGGGCCACATTACTCATGTGTAAAATAGTCTCATGGGCTGTAAGTTGGCCATCCCTGCTTTGGGGGATGGGGAGCCAGTGGAGCCGGGCGAGGGTGGGGGTGATGGGCTCACTGAACTTGGTGCAGGACAGGACACAAGCTGCAGAGTTCTAAATAATCTGCATCTTATGGAGGGAAGAGTTGGGAAGGCCGGCTCGGTGAGGTGGAGAGGGCGTCCATTAACAGTGATGCTGTCTGCGCCTGGGGTGAGAAGGAGGGGAAGACTATTGGAGGGGTCCAATAGTTATCCCAACGCACGCACCCAACGCACGCACACTCTGGGCTCCCCCCAAGCCTTGGCTCTTGTCAACCTGCACCTAATACTTTCCAGAATTAGGTAAACAGGAGGCGTCCCTCCAGGAAGGGAGAGAGAGAGAGAGAGAGCGAGAGAGAGAGAGAGAGAGAGCGCACTCCATTCCAACAATCTACCTCTGGGATTTCTGTGTGTAGGTGGGGATACGTGGAATATCTCGGATTGATTTGGATACGCTTAAGCAACGGTGATGGGCTTCCACATGTTTTGCTGGGCAAGAAAAAAATAATGTTTGACGAGAGGCTGGGGGTGGGCGGGGGGATGAGATTTGAACAAATTCACTGTAGCTGCTCTGCCCGAAGATTGCGATTCTGCCCCCCCCCCCCCCATCCCCACCCATCGCTCTCCGCACGCAAACAGTTTGCTCAGCTGGGGTTACGCTGTGCTGTCTGAGCTCCTGCTGTCACCTCTCTGTGTCCTTTGCACAGCCCGGAGCTGGTACTCTGCTCTCCGCTGCAGTCAGAAACTAACCACAAGCTGGCGGGTGGGGGTGGGGGGTGGGGGGTGGCGGGTGGGGGGTGGGGGTGGGGGGTGGGGGGTGGCGGGTGGGGGGGGAGCCTCTTCTCACCAGGCTATCTCACGCTCGCCTCGTCATCACACCTTGAGGTGGTCTTCACAACTCGCATTAGACACTCGCTCCCCAATCCACCAACCGTCACTTATTCACACACACATACTCACAGCACCCCCACCCCCGCCCCAATCACCCCCCCCCGCTACACATACTCACAGCACCCCACCCCACCCCAATCACACCCCCCCCGCTACACATACTCACAGCACCCCCACCCCCCCCAATCACCCCCCCCCCGCTACACATACTCACAGCAGCCCCACCCCCGCCCCAATCACCCCCCCCCGCTACACATACTCACAGCACCCCCACCCCCACCCCAATCACACCCCCCCCGCTACACATACTCACAGCACCCCACCCCCACCCCAATCACACCCCCCCCGCTACACATACTCACAGCACCCCACCCCCCCCAATCACACCCCCCCCCCCGCTACACATACCTCACAGCACCCCCACCCCCGCCCCAATCACCCCCCCCCGCTACACATGCTCACAGCACCCCACCCCCACCCCAATCACCCCCCCCCCGCTACACATGCTCATAGCACCCCCACCCCCGCCCCAATCACCCCCCCCCCTACATACTCACAGCACCCCACCCCGCCCAATCACACCCCCCCCCCGCTACACATACTCACAGCAGCCCCACCCCGCCCCAATCACCCCCCCCCACCCCGCTACACATACTCACAGCACCCCCACCCCCACTCACTCACCCCCCCCCCACACACTCACCCCCCCCACACACTCACCCCCCCACACACTCACCCCCCCCACACACTCACCCCCCCACACATACACTCTCACCCACTCCCACATGCTCATTCACCCCCACACACTCCCCCGAGGGTCACCTACCCTGTGAGACTGTGGCTGCAGGGTTAACAGGAGCGGAATGAGAGGCGCCCCTGGGCTGGGCTGGGGGGAGCCCGGGGGGGGTGAGGGGGTGGGGGGGGCCCGGGGGGGGTGAGGGCGGGGGTGAGGGGGTCTGGAGGTGGAGGGGGTGAGGGGGGGGGTGAGGGGGGGTGAGGTGGAGGGGGTGGCTGAGGGGGGGGTGGAGGGGGGAGCACGGGGGGGGTGGAGGGGGGGTGAGGGGGGGTGAGGTGGATGGGGGTGAGGGGGGGGTGGAGGTGGAGGGGGGGAGCCGGGGGGGGGGTGAGGGGGGGGGAGCCGGGGGGGGGTGATGGGGGGCTGGAGGTGGAGGGGGGTATCCCGGGGGGGGGGGGGTGAGGGGGGGTGAGA